TTTAAGAAGTTTTCTCACTCTTTAATTGCTTCTATGCTCTTCTTCACTGTTGTTTCTATGTGACCACTTGACCTGCTTGACTACTGTGCTTCGAATATTTTCTTACTACTAAACCCTAGCTTACCCTTACTGCCATTGTATGTTTGTGTTGCTTCTTTTTGTCAACTCGTTTAACATTGCATGCTTGTTCATTCCTCGCTATTTATATAGTGAAGTGCAGAATCATGTTCCTTTCTTGTTTGATCTTGATTCCTTTGATCTTGTGACTGATTGCGAAAAAGGTTTTCTTACGAGCCCTAATTTTTACTCATCTGTTTAAAATTAATCGATTCACTTCCTTTATTGTGATGTTTTACCTTGCTAAATCCTTTCCCAAAATAAGCCTATTTCGTACTTGGAATTGATTATTTACTTCATGCTTTTGCTACCCTTTTTATGGCAATAATCAATCTGCCCCCAAACTGATTTTCTTTCCTTAATTAGGTCTGCTGATACCCGTTAAGCAGTGTTTCCTTAATTAAAGGGGAATCACTTGGGTTAATTGATTCTGAATAGTAATGGTTTCCATGTTTTGTGTTTTAATTTTACTTATTACCTTACTTCTCACTCGTTTTCAAAAACTATAAATACTCTCCTCCCTTTTCTTTGAACACACACGAACACAGACGAACAACCTGAGTTCAAAAAAAAATCACTCTTACACTCAAAACACTCTCTCTTTCTTCACTGCTACTTGTGCTGTTGCTTTGTCTAGCCGGCTGAAAGCCAAGGCTAGACTGTGGACTCTTGTTTTCTCTACTTTTCTGCACTTTGCTTCTCTACTGGTATGTCCTAGTTAATTTACTAGTTTCAACAAAAACATGTTTTTCATTCATGACCACTTCTGTTCATGTTTTCTGCAGTCAAGATGTGTTACTAGCATGCTGTAATATGTTCTCTTTCCCTTGCAATTTAATATTTATCTATGTGTGCCTTCTGTCAGTCGTGTTTATTTATGTGCTACCTTATGAATCCCAAACCCTCATATCCCCTTTATATGCTTTAAGTTATGGTTTAGAAACATGGCAATGTCTGAAATCATTGTCCATGGATATGAATTGGCCCCTTTGGGGCCCAAGCTTTGTCGATCTCCCATCCCTATTCCCTCATTGTGTGTGCTGAGTAACAGCCTTGGCCTGCCAGTATTTCTAGTTATTGTTCATGCCATGGCTTGACCTCCAGTAGGTTTTTACTCCCTAAATGCTTGATCAACAGGTTTGGTCAGGGGTGTGCCAGTCTATTTATGGCTGGGCATGACCACCAGCCTGCTTGGGTAGTCCCTACCCCTTTCTATTGCACTTACACTCATTCTTAAAACTTATGTTCTGCCCCTCTTGTGTGAGCCTTGCCTTAGGACCCTTGAGCTCCCTCTGAACTTGGACACATGAGGGCTGGCCCTTCCACACTGCACAACTCAATTTCTGATTAATATCTTGGGTGTATGCACTGCCTAGGGTTCCTAAAATCCGTTGGATCTCTGAAACACCCTAGATAAGAGAAGGCTTGGAAATCTGGATCTCAGAAGTGGCTCAATCTCATATTATTAAGCATTAAGTCTGGATTAGGCTGCTCGTATGTAGCTGAGGATTTCTCATGTATTTTTTAATTCCAGTTTATTTCTTTGGGGTTGTAATAACTTGTATAAACTCGGGGTTTTAGTAAAAAGGGGATGGGATTTATTTTATGCATCAAGGGTAGAGATCATACCTATAGGGATTTGTTATGATTTCTTCAAAATCACACCTAGATATCATGCCTATAGGGTTAACGCTTAATTTCTGCAAATCACACCTAGATATCATGCCTATAGGGTTAACGGTTAATTTCTGCAAATACACATAGAAATCATGCCTATAGGATTCATTCTCAATTTCTGCATCCCCACGCATAGATATCCTGCCTATAGGATTAACTTCTAATTGTTCTGCAAACCCATAAAAACCCGGTCTATAGACTACTGCATTTATAAGCATCACTAAGCAAACAGTTCGTAGGTTTAACAATAAAAGCTGCATATAGATATCATGTTCATAGGACTTCTACTAATGTCTAAAAAGGTGTCCAAAACAGTAATCATATAGAAAGCATGCCTATAGGAAACCTCGAATCTGAATAAAAGTAATGTTAACTTCTGGACTCGCAATGTTCTGTTAAAATTGGTATCCCCTTTTCAGTTTGCATCCTTTCTAAGGTCAGTGGATATCATGCCTAGTTCTAACCAACTCTTAGACAAAAGGAATAATCAATCATATCGGTTTTAGTCAATTGCATTCGAGTAAGCCTAATGCAGACTTTTCGCCTAAAAATATGCGCTGAACCAGTCCGCTCGTCACTTATTTAACTAAGACCAAAAACAGTACGTGTAAGACATGCTAAACTATATGACTTTGCTGGTTTATGGAGGCATATTTGAGCCCTGTTTGCTTGTCTGTTTCCCTCTATTTGCATTACATGTTTTGGTTGACGCCTTAGCATTTTGTCCTTTGAGAACTTCTGAAAGCCCCAAACCCCTTTCCCTTTAGGATTAGTAGCCCATTTGCCTCCGGGACTGATAGGATTGGGACGGGTAACATCATGCAATAATTAACAATACTATCCTGCGCTTTAATACCTTAACGGGGTGGGAAGGGTAGACATGGAGATGACGATCACACGATAACACTATGCGTACAATTGAGTACCGGTGTTGTGTGGATGATCCATGTGATATATAAACCTAGGACCCCTCCCTCTTTATTAGTTTGTTATTTTTTTCAGAATTCTAAAAAAGCTGTCCAGTTTTCAACTTCCGCTTCTTGTACTTCTTTTAAGTTGCTTGCATCAATTATTTCACCCCTTCCCTTCACTCGCATACCGTTTCTTTGATTATAAAACTACTTCCATCCAAATTTCAGCACTTTAAATCCTTTTGTGTTTCTTATTTGCAACTGTTATGTGGAAGTTTCCTCGTATTTGCAATGCTTGCTTGCCTATTTAAAGTCACAATTGTAGCATGGCCGGGAACCATACTAGTGGATCTTGAGGGGTGCCTAACACCTTCCCCTCGAGATAATTTCTAGCCCTTACCCAAACTCTGGTTTTCATCTCAAATTCTTTCTTAAAAGTGTCCTAATGCACTATAATCATTAGGTGGCGACTCTTCGAATCCAAAACCCAATTCCCGAACGGGAATAGAGTTGTCTTTCCCGAATGTCGTAAACCCGACTTCTCGCTCTCTGGAGGGAGGGAAAAAGGGGGCGTCGACACTTTGTCAATTATCTGCAACGATTAGTTTCCGAGATATCAATGTGTTTAACGGAGGTCGTACCTTAGCAATAATATCGTTCTAGGTATGTCACGTTCCAATTTCTAGGTAACTCTCGGTCGTCCATTGTCCTAAGCTTATAAGATCCTTTCCCAGTAATTTTGAGAATTTGGTACGGACCTTCCTACTTTGGGCCCAACTTCCCTTCATTTGGATTTCGCGTGTTTAATGTGACTTTTCCTAACACCAAGTCTCTGATTTTGAAGTATCTAAGTTTGGTCCTCCGATTATAATACCTCTTGATTTTCTGCTTCTAGGAGGTCAGTCGAACAAGGGAAATCATGGCTTCGTTGTCAGATTCCTCCATTGCGTATCAAAATCTGATACTTGGTTCACCGACTTTGACCGGTATAAGGGCTTCGCTGCCGTAGACTAGTAAGAATGGTGTGGCCCCGGTACTAGATCTCGAGGTCGTTTTGTATGCCCAAATGACTTCGGGTAGAATCTCCCTCCATTTTCCCTTGGCTTCAGTTAACCTTTTCTTAAGGTTTTGGATAATGGTTCTGTTTGTTGATTGTGCTTGTCCGTTTGCACTGGGGTGATAGGGTGTTGATAAGACTCTCCTGATTTTGTGGTCCTAAAAAAATTTTGTGACTTTGCTACCAATGAACTGCTTCCCGTTGTCACATAATTTCATATGGTATCTCGAATCAGCACACGATGTGGTCGCAAATGAAATCGACCACTTCCTTATCCGTGACATTCGCGTACGCTTGAGGTTCAACCTATTTAGAAAAATAGTCAGTCATAAATAAAATAAATTGAGCTTTACCTGGGGCCCGTGGGAGAGGGCTGACGATATCCATTCCCTATTTCATGAACGACCATGGCGATATGATCGAGTGTAGTGGTTCCCCAGGCTGGTGAATCCACGGTGCGTGTTTTTGGCACCCGTCACATTTTCATACAAACTTCTTTGCATCTTTTTCTATGTCGATCCAATAATAACCAGCTCTGATAATTTTTCGAGCTAATAGTTCAGCACCAGAGTGATTTCTACAAGTGCCCTCGTGAATTTCACTTAAAATGTAATCTGTGTTTTCTGGCCCGAGACAAATAGCAAGTGGGACATCGTACGTCCTTATGAATAAGACCCCTTCCTCAGATAGGTTGAACCGACTGCTTTTGTGCGCAGAGTCCTCGATTCTTTTGGATCCTTTGGTAAACTCCTTGTTTTCAAGTATTTTATCTATTTATTTCTCTAATCCCAAGTAAGGCTTGCGGAGTTTACTTCGATGTGGCTTCCTTCTATCACCGATTTTCTCAATTACATGACTACCTTCGAATCGGGTTCGTCATCTTCGACCGCTGAGCCTAGATTTGCCAGGGCATCAGCCTCACTATTCTGGTCTCGAGGCACGTGTTGCACATTCCATTATTTGAATGATGTAATGTCGTTTGTAACTTGTCGAGGTATATTTGCATTCGTTCTTCTCTGACCTCGAACGCTCCATTTACTTGGTTCCCCATAAGGAGGGAATTAGACTTGGCCTCGATCACTTCTGCCCCCAAGCTTCTTGCGAGTTAGAGACCTGCAATCAAGGCCTCATATTCGGCCTTATTGTTAGTCAATTTCAAAGTTCTGATTGATTGTCTAATTATGTTGCACGAGGGTGGTTTAAGCACTATGCCAAGATCGGACCCTTTCACATTTGATATGCCGTCTGTGAACAAGGTCCAGATTCCCGAAGAGGCCTTCCAGCCGGCCAGTATTTCTTTATTAACTTCGGGAATCGGAGCTGGTGTAAAATCGACAACAAAATCTGCTAATTTCTGAGATTTAATGGCAGTTCGAGGTTGATATTCGATATCATACCCACTAATCTCTATGGCCCATTTGGCCAATCGTCCTGAGAGTTCGGGCTTATGCATTACATTTTGTAATGTGAAGGTTGTTACAACACATATAGGATGGCACTGAAAATATGGTTTTAATTTCCTAGAGGCACTCATCAATGCGAGGGCCAATTTTTCTAGGTGGGGATATCTGGTTTCGGCCTCACCTAGGGTTCTGCTAACATAATAAATAGGAAATTGCGTACCTCGTTCTTCTCGAACTAAAACACCGCTTACCGCTACCTCTGATACCACTAAGTAAAGATAGAGTCATGGTGGGCTCGATAAGTAATGTTTTAGATCCTCCAAGGCCTGCTGACATTCCGGTGTCCATACAAAGCTATTCTTCTTTTTTAGCAGTGAGAAGAATTGGTGACTTTTATCTGCAGACCTCGAGATGAACCGTCCTAATGCGGCAATGCTGTCACGCCCTAAAATCCGAGGAGCGCGACCGGCGCTCAACCGAGTAAGCCCGACTGAGCAAGCCTGTTAGGTTTCATCCTACCCAACCCAACTCGTGATTAAATAGGAGATGGACTCCATTAATCATACTTAGTAAGTATTTTATTAACAATTCCATTTTATTTCCATTAGCAACTTAAATCATAAATATCAAAATATTACAAGTTTTATAAATCTTTGCCAAACATCAATGTTTCAACTTTAATTCCAATATCCGACACTACCCACAACCTGTCTACGGAGCCTCTAAACATAACTGAAGAGTAATGTAATATAGAAATGCCGGTAACAAGGCTCCGGCTATACCTCAAGTACAAAGTACATGATAAACAAAGGAAACAGGACCCCCGAAATGAAGTGGGGCTCACCAAGTCAGCAGAAAGGATGATGCGGCACTAGCTGCGACCAACACTGCCTGCTTTAGAAATACCTACATCCATTTCAAGACGTAGCGCCCCCGGCAAAAGGGACGTTAGTGCCATCGAATAGCACTAGTATGTATAACTAAACACCATCTAGTTAGAAAGAACTTTCTCATACAATGATAATGAAATCACAAGTACAACTCAAACACTTTAAATGATCACAACATTATTAAATAAAAGAATCATGCCATTTTCACATCATTTTCCATAGCTTTTGGATTGGGGCATTTCACACTATTCATCATTTGTTCACAATACCACCGCTATCTTGAGCGGAGTCCGATCTCGACCCGATCGGCTAGGTTGCCTCATTTGAGGCATACGCTTCAATCACAATGTCATTTTCCCTTTTTGCCGGAATTCATTCACAAGACCACCGCTATCATGTGCGGAGTTCGATCTCGGCCCGATCGGCTAGGCCGCCTTACCAAGGCATTGTTCCCTTCTCATTAGCCATTTCGTTTCACACATATCATTTCATAGGCACTTGGGGCCATAACTTATCACATCATTCTTGGCACTAGGCCGCATTTTACATCGTTCCCAATTTCAATATTAGCTTCGCCATTTAGGACAGTAGGTGCACACAAGAATAATTAGAAATTGTAAGCATAGATGAGACTTCACATAGATGGCACAATATATGCAGCTCCAATCTTAATTTAAGGTCTTAGCATTTCAATACATGATTCATATTCCTTGCACCCTTTTTAAGTTATCAAGAATAGCACATTGATCACATAGGAACGCATCTTTCACAAATATAGGGTCACAACACCAATTCATGTAAAGTATCAATCAAAGCAAGAAACCAAAGTTCAGTGTTACCACATTTACACAAGCATCGATAGAGCTCAATTTCTAAAAGACGGGGTTTTAGCCATACATACCTTGTTTAAGCTTTCCTTAAGTTACTACAACGTTCCGGAAATTTTAGCAATCCCAATCTACTTTGAGACATAACAAAATTGAACACAAATTAGGAAGGTATTCATGGTTTCAGCTCATTTGAGCATTTTATCAAATACTAGTTGAGCATCTTGATTTCAAATCTCTTTTACAAGGTTTCCTTCATCCCCACCCCAATCTTTACTTATTTATGTTCAACAATCTTTCCACAAACCTAATTTGTACATGCATGTATACATAATAGTATTACACGCAAGAATCATAACTCAATACCCCATCTTATACCCCAAACTCGAAATTAAAGCCTAATGTATAGAATCTTACCTCTTAGATGAAGAACTTGTGATTGGGTTCTTTGATTCTTAAAGATTGATGCAAGATTGGATGATTGAATGTTGGGTTCATCCTTCTCTCTCTAAAATGCTCTCAACTCTTGATGTTTGGCTTAAAGTACATATATTTTTATGTATACCGCCTCATGTTTCGTGAATTTGGGATGTTAAATGCTATGAATTGTATTACTTTGAAGTGCTTTTACTTGTAGGAATGATTCGGGAGCAAGTAGGGGCAAAGCGTGCAAGAATTGAAGCTAAAACGGACAAAATCGGAGAAGAAGCCAGTTTGGGCGCCACAGGCAGCGCCTGGCGCCACCTGTGGTGCTGGAGACAGTATGCAAAATATGGGGGGCGCTAGGGATGGCGCCTGGCGCTGGGCTGGGCGCCGGTTACGCGAAGTTGGCCTATTTTGCCCAGAACTCGATTTAGTCGGCCCTAAACCTATCCAACACGTGTAAAAGCCATCCTAAACCTATTTTGAGGGGAGGGACGGATTTTGGAGCAAAAACACACGCTAGAAACGTTGAGGAGCAAGAACAACTCGGATTTCTTCATCTTTTCCAGTATTTTCAATTAATTAAAACTTATGAATTTGTTTGATTATATCATGAGTGGCTAAAACACCCATTCTTCTGGGGTTGTGATTTAGCCATAAATATTGTTGTTTGACATTAGACTTAACCTTGATTGTAATTCACCAATATATGGTTGTTTCTTTAATTCTGTGTTTAATTGCTTAATTGTCTGGCCAGCAGTTAGGTTCTATTTACTATCTATACTATGCTTGGGAAAGCCGTGTTTAGATTAGAGAAGAATTGAAGAGAGCATGATCTTAACCCTTAGGGGGAGCGGATTTGTGGTTAGGATAGGAATATACCGAGTCACCATGCTTGATTAAATATCGTTATCTTAATGCGTTCTTAATAGATTGATTTCATAGGAATATAGGCGTCAATCTATTGAGAATAGGTGGGTAGTACTTCGGGAGAAGGCTATGAGAGCATTTATCGATTAATTAGCAACCATGAGTGAATTATATGAAAGGGAGAGTTAACTAGAACACAATACGATTAGTGAATCGATCACAACCCTGGAATAATTGTCTCTACTGAATACACAACAATCAACTCGTTACTCGATAATTTAGTTATTATTTAGAATTGTAGAATAATATAATCATATTATTGGACTTTGATTTTAGCTGGACTAGATAACAATTTTAGTAATTCCGTGAGTAGTTACACTAGTCTTTGTGGGTTCGACACTCAACTTATCATTATATTAATTGTCGACCACGTATACTTGCGTGTGCATTTGGGAGCAACAAGTTTTTGGCGCCGTTGCTGGGGACTTGAATATTAATTACTTGCTAGTTTTTGCTTTAATTGTTTATTTTGTCTATTCTAACATTACTTGATTGTTGCTCAGATCTCAGGAATTTTGATTGAATGCATAGGGTCAGAAGCCAGGACCGACTTCAAGGCTTTGATCCTGAACCTGAGAGAACATTCCACAGGAGGTTGAAGTAAGCAAGGGACACAAATAATATTCAGGAACTTGTTCAATTTCCTGTGGACATGGCAGAGGAGCAACCCATGGCTGTTCAGGAGGTGGCGATGCCGAGCATTACTAATGTCACCTCCAGTATAGTGAAGCCCAGGATCACTGGGCACTTTGAGCTGAAACAGAGCATTATCCAGCTGCTTCATGCAAACAGGCAATTTATGGGTCTTCCACACGAGGATCCACAGCAACATATTCTGAACTTCTTGGAGATTAGTGATACTTATATCACTAACGGGGTCACTCCAGATTATGTGAGGCTCACAGTTTTTCCATTCTCTCTGTTGGGCGAGGATAAACGATGGCTAAAGGCAGAACCGGCTAATTCTATTACATAATGGAATGATTTGCTAAGAAAATTTCTGGCAAGGTTCTTTCCTTCAGGCAAAACTGCAAAGATCAGAAGTGAGATAGTGGCCTTCAAACAGAAAGCGGGACAATCCTTATACTCAGCTTGGGAAAGGTTCAAGGGGCTACTCAGATTCATCACAATCAGACGAATGAAGTGTTAGCTCACACTTTCATAGAAGGGCTACATTCTAAAACAAAGATTGTGGTAGATGTTGCAGCTGCGGGTCAAGTGCTGGAGAAAAGCTTTGACGAGATATATGCATTATTAAACAAATTCTCCAAGAGCAATCCAGATTGACAAGGAGAGATGGGCAGACACACAATGCAAAAGTCTACAGGGGTTCTTGAGTTAGATTCCATCTCAGCATTATCAGCGCAGATTTCTACATTGACCAATCAAGTTAACCAGATGAACTTGAGTATCAATAAGCAACAAGTATAACCAGTACAACAGGTTCAAATATTTTGTGAAGTATGTGGAGAGGGTCACATGAGCAATCTATGCCCAGCAAATCCAGAGTCTGTATATTTTTTGGGTAATGCAAATCGAGGCCAAACAAATCTGTACGGGGACACCCACAATCCCAACTGGAGGAACCACCCAAACTTCTCTTGGGGTGGAAACCAGGGCACTCAGAATCAATACAGGCCTCAAGTACCTCAACAGCAATATAGACCACCTCAGGTTGAACAACAAGCGAGTCCTACAAGTCACCTTGAAGACATGTTGAAAAAAATGATGGCTGAACAGCAAGCCCTCGCCACAACAGTGAGAAATTTAGAGCATCAAATGGGACAGCTTGCTAGTGCTCAAAAACACTAGACCACCAGGGGCTCTTCCAAGTGATACTAAGCCCAATCCTAAAGCTCAAGTCAATGCGGTTACCTTAAGAAATGGAAGAGCACTAGAAGAAGTTCCAAAGAAAAAGAAGAATACAGCTCATCCTGAAGGAGAATTAGCTCCCAAGATAGTTGAGGGGAATGAGAAAGATGATAAAGGACCCAAGCCAGTAATTGAGACTAGGCCACCACCTCTGTTTCCACAAAGACTGCAGAAGCAAAAAGATGATGATAAGTACAAGAAATTCCTAGATATTTTGAGCCAAGTGACTGTGAATCTGCCTTTGGTGGAAATTTTGCAGGAAGTGCCTAAGTATGCAAGGTATCTCAGAGATATTGTGGCAAACAAACGAAGACATGCAGAGTTTGAAACAGTTGCACTTACTGAAGAGTGCAGTGCCAGAGTTCAGAGTAAACTTCCTCCTAAGTTGAAGGATCCTGGGAGTTCCACAATTCCTTTGTCTTTTGGAAAACAAGAAGTTGGTAGAGCCCTGTGTGATTTAGGGGCCAGTATAAATTTGATGCCATCCTCTTTTTTCAAGCAACTCGGATTGGGGGCACTTAGACCTACTACAATCATTTTACAGCTAGCAGATAGGTCACTAGTCATGCCCGAAGGAATTATAGAGGATGTGTTAGTTCGTGTGGGAAAGTTTATTCTTCCTGCTGATTTTATTGTTCTTGATTACGAGGCAGATGAGGAAGTGCCCATTATTTTGGGGCGGCCATTCTTAGCTACTGGTGGAGCAATTATTGATGTGAGAGCGGGAAAGTTAAAAATGAGAGTTCACGATGAGGAGGTCACTTTTAATGTGTACAAGGCACTTAAGCTTCCTAAGCATTATGAGGTCTTGTGCATGATTACTGTGTAGAATCGAAGGGGATGAAGCAGGGTCCTTATGAGAATTGTAGTGATCCATACGGGACAACTGAATTAGAGGAGGTAGTGTTTCCAGCTGAGCGTGTTAAGATGATTGACAAAAGAGCCTGGGATGAAAGAGGAGACCTTCGGAGAGTGTGCAAAAAGGCTAGAATTCATGGGAGAAAGAAGAAGAGAAAGCGCCTAGCCTGAGAAGAGTAGCAGAGTCGTGCCACGACTATAAATAAGGCGCTTGTTGGGAGGCAACCCAACCTGTATATCTTTTATTTATTGATTAGTTTTCTAGTGCCAAGTTTTGTGTTGTTTTTATTTTGCAGAGTGGGGGAAGTCTGAGTACCCAAAGTTGAAGCTGAGGAGCATGTTTGAGCTTAAGTGTGGGGTCGTCCCGACCCTTAATATTGAGGATCATGTCTGACCTAGGCCTGAGAGGGTCTCAGGGAGTATTTCTCACCCTTGTTTTAATATTTCTCTATGATCATGCATCGAAGACTATGCATAATATAAGTGTGGGGTGGGGAAACTACTTTCTGAAGTGTAATTGTATAAAATTGTTATTATTTTTTTCTTTTAAAACTCGTAGTAGACATGGTCTAGAAAAAATAAATAAATAAATAAATAAAAACGAAAATTAAAAAAAAATTAGAAAAAGTTCGGACTTTTCCCGACGATGGATCTTTTGGATAATTTTCTTGAGGGATAAAAGTCCGATTTAAAAACACCAAAAAGATTTCTTTCCCCCCTTTTTCTTAGAATAGTTAGGTAGTATTCCTTGGTTTTTCTTTGGGCACCGGTTCTTTTCCAAGGATGTAGCTCGAACCAGGCACTTTAATTCCTTTTCAGAAGTAGTTTAGGAAGAAACTGAGTCGTTCTGAGATACTCATTGATATGGTTGATGCTGGCACATTAGGCTATGACATACATTCTGTTTTCCCGTGTACTTGGTTTGAATTGTGAAGCCTAAGTAAAGTAAATATCCTATTTTGTAACATCTTTTCTCAGATTTCTGACTTGTATTTCACATAGTGCATGGTTGCTTAAATTCCTCAATTATGTGTGCTTGCTTGACTTGAGAGTTGAACAGAACTGTCTTGATTGAGTCATGTGCAACGTGTGTGTGAGGTTTTGTGATTTTCTGTGCTATCCTGTGTAGTCTAGAACTTGCCCCGTGTGTTAATTGAAGCGAAATTGTAAGTTGTGCTAATCTAGGAGATGACGTAGTCATTTTCTTGTTTGATCATGGATGTTCTTGTCACATAAAAATAAAATTTTCCGTTGCTAGCCTCTTTGAGCCTATAGACCTTTCTTTTGGCACCCACATTACAAACCATCCCCCATTTTATTCTTAATTTGATATTGATTGAACCTTTACCTCCTAAGGAAGAAGTAAGGTTAGAAGTTGGGGAGTAGCTTTTAAGTGGAGCCATGGAAGGGCCCGTTGAAGTTGAAATCAAAAGTCACTAGCCGATGAACCTTAATGTATGGAGTGTGTGAAGAAAAGAAAAAAAAAGAGAAAGGAAAAGAAAATTTTCAAGAAAAGAGAAAAAAATATGATAGTTCAAATAATGTAGAAAAAAAATACACACCTCCATTCTTATTGATTTGTGCTAGTGAAAAATAGAGAAGTGCTTAATTGCAAAGAGGGCTATGTTGTATATGGCAAGTTTGGTTGAGAAGAATATGTGCTTGAATGTTGAATGTAGTGTATTAAAGTGCTTAGGAGGGTTAGCCACTATTCCTAATTATATCCTACCCGTCCCTTAGCCTACATTACAACCTAAAAGTCCTAATTGATCCTAGATTTGGCTAGCTTAAATTAGTGGAGATATACATTACGGGCAAGCTTATGGTACGACCACGGGATGCATATGAATTCTTTGTGAGAGTGAGTGAATTTTGTTCAATTGTGTGATGTCCTTAAATTATATTCAAAAGTATATTTGAATGTGTGGACCAATTTATACTCAATCTTTCGTTTGTTGGTAAGGGCACATGATCTCATGAATGATTGGTAATGTTGTAAACTTTCTTGTTGGGTAAGTGCATGAATTAAGGGTGCTTAGTGGTTGCAAGTCGATTGTTGAGGTTGGGTGGTGACGAATAGGTTGTTGGAATTTATTGAATTGAAATATTCTACTTGGGTATGCTTAAACGGGAAGAATGTGAAATTTTATGTGTTCATGCTTGTGTGCCGATATTGATTGTAGTCAAGGGTATAGTGTGTGGTTAAAAGTTAGGGTGTTTCTCTATGATTGAACTATGTATGTAGTTAGGGGTTCATTAGATTGTCCAATTGCTCGAGGACGAGCAAGAGTCTAAGTGTGGGGTGTTGATGTTTCGCTTGAAGTATATATATTTTTATGTATATTGCCTCATATTTTATTCTTGTTTCGTGAATTTGGGATGTTAAATGCTATGAATTGTATTAATTTTTACTTGTAGGAATGATTCAGGAGCAAGTGGGGGCAAAGCGTGCAAGAATTGAAGCTAAAATGGACAAAATCGGAGAAGAAGCCAGTTTGGGCGCCACAGGCAGCGCCTGGCGCCACCTGTGGCGCTGGAGACTGTATGCAAAATATGGGGGGCGCTAGGGACGGCGCCTGGCGCCGGGCTGGGCACCGGTTACGTGAAGTTGGCCTATTTTGCCCAAGATTCGATTTAGTCGGCCCTAAACCTATCCAACACGTATAAAAGCCATCCTAAAACCTATTTTGAGGGGAGGGACGGATTTTGGAATAAACACACACGCTAGAAACGTGAGGAGCAAGAACAACTCGGATTTCTTCATTTTTTCCAGTATTTTCAATTAATTAAAACTTATGAATTTGTTTGATTACATCATGAGTGGCTACAATACCCATTGTTCTGGGGTTGTGATTTAGCCATGAATATTGTTGTTTGACATTGACTTAACCTTGATTATAATTCACCAATATATGGTTGTTTCTTCAACTCTGTGTTTAATTGCTTAATTGTCTGGCCAGCAGCTAGGTTCTATTTACTATCTATGCTATGCTTGGGAAAGCCGTGTTTAGATCAGAGAAGAATTGATGAGAGCATGATCTTAACCCTTAGGGGGAGCGAATTTGTGGTTAGGGTTGGAATATACCTAGTCACCATGCTTAATTAAATATCGTTATCTTAATACGTTCTTAATAGATTGATTTCATAGGAATATAGGCGTCAATCTATTGAGAATAGGTGAGTAGTACTTCGGGAGAAGGCTATGAGAGCATTTATCGATTAATTAGCAACCATGAGTGAATTATATGAAAGGGAGAGTTAATTAGAACACAATACGATTGGTGAATCGATCACAACCCTGGAATACTTGTCTCTACTGAATACACAACAATCAACTCGTTACTCGATAAATTAGTTATTATTTAGAATCGTAGAATAATATAATCATATTATTGGACTTTGATTTTAGCTGGAGTGAATAACAAATTTAGTAATTCCATGAGTAGTTACACAAGTCTCTGTGGGTTCGACACTCAACTTATCATTATATTACTTGTCGACCACGTATATTTGCGTGTGCATTTGGGAGCAACAACTCTCTCTAAAATCAGTGAAAAAATGACCCCAAATGAAGCCCCAAAGACTATATATTAAAACGGGGTCGGGTTATAAAAATAGGAAGATTAACCCTCCGAATGTGGGTCTGCGGTCGCAAAATGGACCGCAGAATGGGTATGCTGGCCGTAAACGTGTTGCAACACTCGGTGCTCAAAACTGGGCTACACTGGTCCAGTTTGCTACCAAATTTGCGATAGCAAATCAAGTATGCGGACCGCATAATGGTTTTCGCGATCGTATATCCGACACAGGATCACATTTTTCCAGCCTTTTGTAAATTAGTCATAACTTGTGACGACCCAAAGGGTCATCACCTATTTCCTCATCTACTCCGTGCTTCCGAGGTCTTGAAAACCTCATTTTTACTTGCCTCGATTTGCGTGCGCAGTCCGGGCGTGTAGCCGGAAGGCTTAAATATGAATTCTGTGTGAAAAAGGATGAATTTTGATATTAATATGATTAAAGTTGACTTTGGTCAACATTTTGGGTAAACGGACCCGGACCCGAGATTGGACGGTCCCGGAAGGTCAGAAGAAAAAAATGGGACTCGGGCATATGCCCGGAGTTGAATTCCGAGGTCTAGAGCCCGAGGAAAGAATTTTACTATGAAATTGATTTTCTAAAATTATTAAGGAAAAAGGAAATGAAAATTGATTAAAAGACTGTGGTATCGGGCTCGTATTTTGGTTCCGACGCCCGGTACAAGTCTTAAGTATGTGTTAAGCGCTTTCTGTAACGTTTGGTCGAAATCGGACATCATTTGACATGTTTCGGACCTAAATATCTAAAGTTTGAAGTTTACGAAGTTATAATGAAAAATGATGAATTTGGGGCTTGATTCAATGATTTTGATGTTATTTTGGCGATTTGATCGCACGGATAAGTCCGTAGGATGTTTTTGAGGTTGTGTGCATGTTTGGTTTGGAGCCCCGAGGGCTCGGGCGAGTTTTGGATAGGCATCGGATTGCATTTTCTCATTTTTGAAATGCTGGTATTCCTCAGTTCTGGTATCTTCGCATTTGCGAAGAAGTACTCGCAAATGCGAATTCGCAAATGCGGCAACTTGATCGCAAATGCGAGTAAAATGGAGGCCCTGTATATGTTGCAAATGCGACAAGGATGTTCGCAAATGCGATAGTCCCCTCCCCCTTCGGTGTTCGCAAATGCGACAAGGGGCTCGCAAATGCGAAGGGGTGACCATCGCAAATGCGATGGGAAGGCCCCAAATGCGAAACCTGGCCTCCAGATCTGAGTTCGCAAATGCGAACCAAAATGTCGCAATTCCCAAGCCTGCATGGTTCGAAAATGCGAACCTATCTTCGCATTTCCCATATCCGCAGCCTAGCAAATTTTATACTCAGCCGAATTTTCAGCACTTTTCACCATTCTTTCAAAACCCAAACACCATAGGGA